ACAGTTACGCTAGACTTACAGCCAGAATAGATTGTCTGTCTGTCTGTACTACATGAGCGAAAAGGGAGTGAGTGTTTGTATTAGTAGTGGTTGTTTCTTGCGATCTTAGTTCTAAATAAGTGATGATGATGACAATGATAATCATAATGATGAAGTTCTGGTACCCTCTTGTGTTTTATAAAAGAAACAAAAAAAATATAATGTTGATATGAAAAATAATATTTATGTAGTCATACTACATAAAAATAAGAGATTGTCATATCTGACGTTTTAGCTATAAATCACCAACGAACGGGAACATTTAACATTTAATAAACTATACAATGACAACAACTACTTCTACAGCAACAGCTTTAGACTTAACAACTGATCTGAGGCAGTAACAGCAATAAAGTTTTAGTTGGAAGCCATCAGCTATAATGAAGATGCCAAAATCAAATGTTTTAGATTTATAGGATTTCATTTGGGGGATTTGCTCCAAAGAGCTTTTATGGAAAAAGTAGATTTTTTAAGCTTTTATAAAAAAGCTTTTTTAAAAGCAAAAAAGATTTTCTTAATCTAAAAGAAAAACTTTTTAAAATAAAAAAGCTTTTTGCAATATTGTAATAAAAAAGCTTTTTTGAATCTTCTGAAAGCTTAAAGTTTTCTATTGAAAACCCTGTTACGAAGCTTTTTGTGTTAAAAGTTTTTTATGAAAAAAAGCTTTTTTAAGATTATGGAAGAATCTATTTAAGCTTTTTACCAAAAGTGCTTTTTTGAAGAAAGCTTTAACTATTTGTGAAAAAAACTTTTTAGCTTTTATGGAAGAATTTCATTTTTTGAGCTTTTATGAAAAACAGCCTATTTAATGCACAAACATTTTCTTGATATAAGAAAACATTAAGAAAAGCTTTTTAGAATCTTTTTATAGAAATCAATTTTGAAAAATTTCATAGAATTTTTTTAAGCTTTTTATGGAGACATTTTTTTTCTTAAAAAAGTATTACGAGCATTTTCACAAAAATGCTTTTCGAAGCTTTATTAAAAAAGCTTTATAATGCAGTTTATGGAAAAGGCTTTTTTAAAGCCAAATGTTTATTTAATAAAAGCTTCTTTTGTAGATAAAGCTTTTTGGAATCTTTTTATATTTTTTAAGCTTTTTATGAAGAAAGTTTTTTATTGAAAGAACCATTGAGAATAAAAGTTCCTAATGAAAAAAGCGAAGTATTTATGGTAAAAGTTTTAATATTATAGAAGAAGTTTGGTTTTTAAGCTTTTATGAAAAAATCTGATTAAAAGCTTTAGAAAAAGGTAATGAAAAGCTTTAGAAAAAAAGTTGATTAAAAGCTTTTAAAAAAGCCTTTCTATGTTCTATGTACTATACAAACTTTAATGATAAAGCTATTACGAAAAAGTTTCTTATTACAAAAAAACTTTTTGAAGTTTTTATGGATAAAGCTTTATTAGGCCATTTATGGAAAAACGTTAATTTTTAAGCTTTTTAAGCTTTTATAACAAAACTGATTTAAAGCTTTTGAAAAATACTTTTCTTGAAAAAAGCTTTTTCAAGGTTTTTATGTACTATAGAAACTTTATGAGATGTATCTTTTTTGCATCATTTAGTGACTTTGTCCCAGCATTACCAAGAGTATAAACCAAAAGTGGTTAGAAAATGTATGGAAAATGCAGAAAGCTTAACTCCTTTATTTCTCCACATACATAAATCAAGAAATGCCTGCCATTATTTTTAATTATTGTAAAAATTATTTAACCCTTTACCATCTAACCAGCATTTAAAAATTTATCCCTTTTTCTAAGTGTAAAATTCTAAACATTCTTAAAATCATTTAAAACTTTATGTTAATTATTATTTGTTATTATTATCTAAATAACTAAATAGTATCTAAATCAAATTGAAATTAAAAAATAACAACAACCCAACACACACACATATTGTAAACATGAACATTGTCGTTTTGTTTCGTTTATTTTCTCCATATCACCGATGAAAAACTATAAACAAATTATCGCATACATTAAATGTTTAACCCTTTACAAAGCGGTGCCTTATTTGTCATACATAACATGAAAAAAAATCTAACACTAAAAACACAACAATAATAAACTACACATGAAAATGTAAAATTGTACGTAGAACGTATGGTTTCCCTCCCTACAAATTTTCCAGTCAAAGTCGCTGAAATAGAATTTAAAGTGAAATAAATGTGAACAACAGAAAAAAAACTACATACAAGGAAATTCAATTGAAAAATTTGTTTTAATTACTGTTTGGAAAAAGCGCACCAAGAATATTATTTAGAAGTGTTTTGATTTATTTGTTGTAAATGAAAAAAAAAACACTACAGCCTTTGCATGTCATGTTGCAGAGTTGCAACATTGCAACGGATACACTAGTACGTACATATGTGAACTAGCAATTGCCACCAGAGCGTTATAGCGTACTGTATACAATACGTCTTTTGGCATAAATGTTGCTGCCACAATAGCGGCAGTGTTAGCAGTAAAAGAAGCCAGCCACTGCCACAGATAAAACAAAAAAAAACTGAAATCCAACTGCAAGTGCTGTTAATGTCAACTAATGTTTCAGTCTAGTAGTTCTTCTGTAGCTGCAGAAGTTCCCTTCTTTTTTGTGTGTTGTTTTTGTTGTAATTGAGAGTTTTGTTGTTGGTGGAGATGAAGTTAGACAGTTGGGCACTTTTTATCAGCAGCAGGCAAGGAAATTTGAAATGGTACTAACTTTGAAATAAAAAAGTACTTTTTAGGATTTAAAGTACTAAATTTCAGATTTTTCTTTAATGAACTAGAATCGAACTAGAACAAAATTAAAACTGAACTAGAACAGAACCAGAACTAGAACTGAACTAGAACAGAACTAGAACAGAACTAGAACAAAACAGAACTAGGACAAAACTAGAACAGAACTGGAACTGAACTAGAAGATAACTAGAACAGAACTTGAACAGAACTTGAACAGAACTAGAACAGAACTAGAACAGAACTAGAACTGAACTAGAACTGAACTAGAACTGAACTAGAACTGAACTAGAACTGAACTAGAACTGAACTAGAACTGAACTAGAACTGAACTAGAACTGAACTAGAACTGAACTAGAACTGAACTAGAACTGAACTAGAACTGAACTAGAACTGAACTAGAACTGAACTAGAACTGAACTAGAACTGAACTAGAACTGACTAGAACTGAACTAGAACTGAACTAGAACTGAACTAGAACTGAACTAGAACTGAACTAGAACTGAACTAGAACTGAACTAGAATTGAACTAGAACTGAACTAGAACTGAACTAGAACTGAACTAGAACTGAACTAGAACTGAACTAGAACTGAACTAGAACTGAACTAGAACTGAACTAGAACTGAACTAGAACTGAACTAGAACTGAACTAGAACTGAACAAGAACTGAACAAGAACTGAACAAGAACTGAACTAGAACTGAACTAGAACTGAACTAGAACTGAACTAGAACTGAACTAGAACTGAACTAGAACTGAACTAGAACTGAACTAGAACTGAACTAGAACTGAACTAGAACTGAACTAGAACTGAACTAGAACTGAACTAGAACTGAACTAGAACTGAACTAGAACTGAACTAGAACTGAACTAGAACTGAACTAGAACTGAACTAGAACTGAACAAAAACTGAACAAGAACTGAACAAGAACTGAACTAGAACTGAACTAGAACCAGAACTAAACTGAACTAGAACCAGAACTAAACTGAACTAGAACTGAACTGAACTAGAATTGAACTCCCCCATTCAAATCCCCTTCACTGTTTAGCTTTTAACAGCCACAGACACTTGCATCACCCAGAGTTAGTGTTTAAAAAAACATTTATTTTATTTTCATATTATTATAGTCTTACTCTCCTGTAGAGTTTTATGGCTAAAATTGTTGTATATTTTGACCAGGTTTTATAGCTACGAAATTCTCAGCATTAATTCTTTTTTTGATATTCTTAACTTTAGCACATGATTCTTCCTTCTGCTTAGTTAAGCTAGAGCTTCTTCAGCGGTTTGTTTTAGTAGGTTTTGTTTTCAGACGTATGTTACGGTCTGCTTAATTTGCCGCCAAAAAAACTCCAACGTTATTGAAAAAGAATATAAAAACAAAACCGCCGACTACAAAGACAGTCAAAAAGGCAGGCAGTCAGTTAGAGCAGCAGACTGACAGACAGACGGATGGACGGACAGAAGCGGAGTGTAAGCTTAAACTACTGCTGACTATTTTTACTACTGCTACAGCAACTAGTACATACTACTACTACTACTACGACTACTCGTAAAACTTCTAGTAACTGCATAAATATTTCATTTGCGTGTTTAGAAATCATTTTATAGTCACTGTCTTAGCATGTAGCCTTAAGGTTTATCAGCGATTCATCAGTTGTTGTTCTTTTGTTTTTATTTTTTTATTTAAAGTTTTTTCCTCTTGCCAGAACCGAAAGTATTCCAAGCTACAATGACGAGTGAGTACACACATGGCTGTGTAATGTAATGGAAGCACCTACCAGTAAAACAACACAACAACACAAAAACTGCATAATAAAAGCTTAAAGTTTTTGCATTTCCAAGAGGTTTTTTTTCCAACATTAAACCAGATCCGTTTCATACAATCATACCAGAGTTGGTATAATTCTTAAACAGACATAAAGAAGAAACTTACAAAAAAACACGTTCATGAAAAACAAGACAAGTGAGCCCGAAATAAAACTTAAACGTCATCGTCATTTCATTGCATTGCCTGATTGTTTGGGACGATTTTTAAAGACGTCTTTTTTGCATGGCAGATTTTATTTTTTTATTGTAGTTTTCTTCTCCAATTCAGGGAGGTTGTTAGAAGGTGTTTCTTAGAAACACTCTTATTGCCTTACATGTTTTAAATGTGCACAAAATGCTTAGATTGTTATATGTACTATTTTTTATGTATTGTTGGTATTGTTTTTGTTATTATAAAAAAATTACAAGTTAAGCTCACCTATAATAATCGCTTTTGCAGTAAATATTACCGTCGCGCGAATAACATGATGATTCCCGGTCGAGGGGTTGTCGACATGCATAACATTGAAGACAGCTAGCGTGCCACCGTTTATCCACAGCAGAGAGGTAGAAACGATCCTACAAAAAAAACAGAAAAAAAAACGAAAAATTACAAAAAATTAAAACAAATAATAGTGCAACATTAAACCGTTATTGTTGTAATATTTAGGTAAGAATTCTAAGAAATGTTGTTTAAACGTTAAGGGTATTCAGGGCACAAACATTAAAAATATTTTAACACAAACACCCATGCAAGACCAACAATCATAAATATCTCTCATGATCTGTCTTGGTTTTTATCGCCCATAAACGAATCAGAGAGATTTAACGCTGTGCTGGTCAGAAAGAGAGAGCTTTCAAATTTTGGCAAGTTCTGTTATAGTTTTGTTCTAGTTCTGTTCTAGTTCCGTTCTAGTTTTGTTTTAGTTCTTTTCTAGTTCTGTTCTAGTTCTGTTCTAGTTCTGTTCTAGTTCTGTTCTAGTTCTGTTCTAGTTCTGTTCTAGTTCTGTTCTAGTTCTGTTCTAGTTCTGTTCTAGTTCTGTTCTAGTTCTGTTTTAGTTCTGCTCTAGTTCCGTTCTAGTTTTGTTTTAGTTCTTTTCTAGTTCTGTTCCAGTTCTGTTCTAGTGCTGTTCTAGTTCTGTTCTAGTTCTGTTCTAGTTCTGTTCTAGTTCTGTTCTAGTTCTGTTCTAGTTCTGTTCTAGTTCTGTTCTAGTTCTGTTCTAGTTCTGTTCTAGTTCTAGTTCTGTTCTAGTTCTATTCTAGTTCTTTTCTAGTTCTGTTCTAGTTCTGTTCCAGTTCTGTTCTAGTTCTGTTCTAGTTCTGTTCTAGTTCTGTTCTAGTTCTGTTCTAGTTCTGTTCTAGTTCTGTTCTAGTTCTGTTCCAGTTCTGTTCTAGTTCTGTTCTAGTTCTGTTCTAGTTCTGTTCTAGTTCTGTTCTAGTTCTTTTCTAGTTCAGTTCTAGTGCTGTTCTATTTCTGTTCCATTTCTGTTCTAGTTCTGTTCTAGTTCTGTTCTAGTTCTGTTCTAGTTCTGTTCTAGTTCTGTTCTAGTTCTGTTCTAGTTCTGTTCTAGTTCTGTTCTAGTTCTGTTCTAGTTCTGTTCTAGTTCTGTTCTGTTCTAGTTCTGTTCTAGTTCTGTTCTAGTTCTGTTCTAGTTCTGTTCTAGTTCTGTTCTAGTTCTGTTCTAGTTCTGTTCTAGTTCTGTTCTAGTTCTGTTCTAGTTCTGTTCTAGTTCTGTTCTAGTTCTGTTCTAGTTCTGTTCTAGTTCTGTTCTAGTTCTGTTCTAGTTCTGTTCTAGTTCTGTTCTAGTTCTGTTCTAGTTCTGTTCTAGTTCTAGTTCTATGTTTGTTCTGGTTCAGTTTTAGTTCAGTTCCAGTTCAGTTGTAAGTTGATTTAACAAACTTTACCACCTCTTTATGAACCCCCTTAATAATCCCCAACTCACCTGTATTAAACGCCCACAACCCGCACAGGGTGGACTACAATTTGGTTTTGTTTCAGTCGCAGATTCTGGACTACTGGGCGGTCCATATGGTTCCGTTTTAAATGATATACCCGAATTTGTTTCATCATTATCACCATCCGGACATTCGGTTTGATTACGATTAATGGCATATTTTATGGAAGATTCATCGAATGTTGCCTGTTCCGCTGTTTCATAACTAAAATTGCAAGAACTTTAATGGGATGTTGCATCAAAATCACAATTTCAAAGTAGTAGTTAAGTAAATAATAAGTATTATAGAGAAAGGAATGAGCTTTTATAGTTATTTACCTTCTAAATGCCACACTATATGCTGCCGCCGCTGCACTAAATGGTTTTGTACTGTGTTCACAGATATCGGGACACGTTGAGCAGGATCGAAATAAAAATTGATTACTATGATTACTATTACTACTGCTATTTGCACCTGCAGCACTGCCACAATGTGCGCTCCCTTGATGTGCTACAGGTGGTGTTGGACTTTTCTCCCTTGCACCTGGCCCAAGAAATCTTGCGCTCTGCTGCTGTTTTTTTTTGGTACAAAGAGAGAGAGAGAGAAAATTATAAAAAGATTAAATATAAAGTTTGATGTTTAAATAATAATAAACTTAAATTTAATTTGAAATTTTTAAATAAACTTTTTTCACAGAATTTAAATTTGTGAAAAAATAAGCATTTCCTTTTCTTTTTTTAAGGTTAATTAGTGGAAAAAAGTAAATTTGACATGTGTTTGTAGTTGACACTTTTCAACAGTCAAACTTCTGTTTTAAATTTTTTTTAATTTCAAAATCAAAGGATATGGATATGAAATTATGTGTACGAGTTTGAATATTTTTTTGAATTGAAAACATTTGTATATTCTTGAGATTACATAGACAGACTTTTATATAAAAAATGTTATCTTTTTACTTTATTATTTGGGGATTTCTGTCTGCTGTTCGTTTTTTTATTCATTTAAAAATAATTCTTTCTTTTTTTATATATAAATCCCTACAATTTTCATTCGTGTAGATGTCAACGTACAAATACAACTGTCTAATTAAAATTTTCTTTTTACAACAAAAAAAACTTTTCTTCTTGTTTATTAAAATTTAATAAAAATACATGTTTGATTTGAGATTTTTTTTTTTCAAAAACTTGTTAGTTTCTGTTTAAAGGAAAATCACATGAAGACATTTTTTTAGATTATTTTTTAAAAATTTGTTTAGAATTCTCTTGTGTAATGTTGCAGTGATGCATTCATCATCAACATTTTCGTCATTCTATAAGCATTTCAATATTGATAAAAATATTGTGTCCGTTAGACTGTCAGTTTGTCATTTTTTTTCTTGTTTAGTTGTTCTAGGGTTACAAATGTTATCAACTGTTCGTCAGTCATGTATGTCTTTTTATTCTTTGACTTTCTGATTCAGGCATTCGGAAATCTTTCAAAAAAACAAACAAAAAAAACTGATAATATTTTGTTTTGAAATGTCAATTTAATTTGTTGTTTATTTTGTTGTCATTTTTGTAAAACTCATCAAATTTTTTTTTTAAAACCTAGGAGAATTAAAAAAATATTGCTGCAGTATCATTTATTTTAGTATTAAACAAATAATCATAAACGAGTGCAAAGACCTGTTAGAAATGACCTTATTTAAAAACAAAATATATGTACATAGAAAGGAAATATTTCAGTTGTTGTTTTTAAGCATTCTAGATGTCAGCATCTATGATTAAAGTGCTTCTTAGATGCTGTACAGTAAGGAAATAATTAAATTTTGTTGACGATTTTTTTATGTCGAAATTTGGTATAAGAAATATGTACCTATTTTTATTTATTTGCCATTGAGTTCAGTTTTAGTTCAATTCTAGTTCAGCTCTAGTTCAATTGTAGTTCAGTTCTAGTTCAATTCGAGTTCAGTTCTAGTTCAGTTCTAGTTCAGTTCGAGTTCAGTTCGAGTTCAGTTCTAGTTCAGTTCTAGTTTAATTCTAGTTGAGTTCTAGTACAGTTCAGTTCTGGTTCAGTTCTAGTTCAGTTCTAGTTCAGTTCTAGTTCAGTTCTAGTTCAGTTCTAGTTCAGTTCTAGTTCAGTTCTAGTTCAGTTCTAGTTCAGTTCTAGTTCAGTTCTAGTTCAGTTCTAGTTCAGTTCTAGTTCAGTTCTAGTTCAGTTCTAGTTCAGTTCTAGTTCAGTTCTAGTTCGTAGTTCAGTTCTAGTTCAGTTCTAGTTCAGTTCTAGTTCAGTTCTAGTTCAGTTCTAGTTCAGTTCTAGTTCAGTTCTAGTTCAGTTCTAGTTCAGTTCTAGTTCAGTTCTAGTTCAGTTCTAGTTCAGTTCTAGTTCAGTTCTAGTTCAGTTCTAGTTCAGTTCTAGTTCAGTTCTAGTTCAGTTCTAGTTCAGTTCTAGTTCAGTTCTAGTTCAGTTCTAGTTCAGTTCTAGTTCAGTTCTAGTTCAGTTCTAGTTCAGTTCTAGTTCAGTTCTAGTTCAGTTCTAGTTCAGTTCTAGTTCAGTTCTAGTTCAGTTCTAGTTCAGTTCTAGTTCAGTTCTAGTTCAGTTCTAGTTCAGTTCTAGTTCAGTTCTAGTTCAGTTCTAGTTCAGTTCTAGTTCAGTTCTAGTTCAGTTCTAGTTCAGTTCTAGTTCAGTTCTAGTTCAGTTCTAGTTCAGTTCTAGTTCAGTTCTAGTTCAGTTCTAGTTCAGTTCTAGTTCAGTTCTAGTTCAGTTCTAGTTCAGTTCTAGTTCAGTTCTAGTTCAGTTCTAGTTCAGTTCTAGTTCAGTTCTAGTTCAGTTCTAGTTCAGTTCTAGTTCAGTTCTAGTTCAGTTCTAGTTCAGTTCTAGTTCACTTCTAGTTCAGTTCTAAAATATTTCTCTAAAAATAAAATTTTTCTCTAAAAATATTTTTTTTACAAAAATTCAATTTTTCACGAACATTTAATTTGACACTAAAACTTCACTTTTTTACTAAAAATCCATTTCTTTTTCCAAAAATTGGTTTCTTTTTAATAAAAAAAATTATATATTATTATCAAAAATTCTATTAAACTTACCCAATGCATCACAGGGCGCTCTTCGGTGCAGACGCCCATGTGCGTCTTTTGAGATATCACGAGGTTTGGTTCCAACGATGCTTATTTGGCAGTGCGGCGGCAGGATGTTGTATTTTATGCTGACGTATTGTGGAAATTTTTTTGTTCGTAAATTCAAATTACAAATTTGTGACACACGACCAACGGCTTAACTTTATTATTGGTAAATTAAAGCTCAATGGTTAAAGAAAAACCAATTTTAAAAACACTTTTTTTAAAAAGAAAGTTTTGCACTAAATAGAGAAATAAGAAAGAATTTTTTAGGAAAGGAATTAGATTTTGTTAAATTTTTCGTTCTTTTTGTATTATTTATTTAGTTCTTTCAAAGTTGGCTTTTTTTAAGTTGGACACCGGAAGCTTGAAAATCTTGTGGATAATTCACACATTAACTTTTTTTGTCACAAAATATGTGGGACCCACACATAAATATTTGTTTTTTTTTAATTTTTTCTTTTTTTAAGATTTATTTTATTTTCAGCGCCAGCAGGTATTCAATAAATTCACACACTAATATTTTTTTTAAACAAAAAAATAATAATAACAAACTGATACCACAACGACCTTCCCAATATTATGCACAAGAAGAAAAAACCATAAACCAAAAACCAATTCACAGTCTTCTGATCTAAAAGTATGGATCTGTAAACAAAAGTTTAAGAAAAAAAGTAATTTAAACTAAGAGGAGCTCAAAATAAACAACCAGCCACCAACCAAAACCACCTTTAGCTCTTAAAACAAAGCTAAAGTTTTTATTTTGGAGTTTTGAGTTTTAATTTTCTTTAGCTGGGTTTGGTTTTATATTGTTAGACGACAACGACGATCTTAACTTGAGAGCTCTTCGTCCCCACATTTATTTAAGGAAACGAGACTTAATGTAGTTGTTGTTTGTTGTACATGTAAAGTGTCCAAAATGTTGACAATTTTTAACTTAATTTATGACATTAATTTAGAGACGCTATACCAAAGTAGAAGCAAAAAAACCGAAATATACTAAAATAAAGAAGCAGCCAAAATAACTTATGAAAAGTAGCTGCAAATGAACAAATTTAAAAGAAATAAAAAAGTTGAAAACATTGTTTTTGACCCTCCTCGTTAGAACATGCAATAAAAAGATGCAAAATACTGATAAGAAATCTTTTGAACTTAGAAAAGACACATTTTTTTACGATCACAATATGTATGTTGTTGTATACTACAACTGTTTATGGAATACCACACTTCAGATGATTTAATTAATGGCAATTGTAAATTATAGATTTTCAATAGGTTTAAAGCAGCGAAACGCATTGAGCTCTCAAATGAGCTCTCTTGTACTCATTCTTTCATGCGTACGTATGCTCAGACATGTATAAAGAACAAACAAAACCAATCAGAGAACTATTTTTTTACTCTCTGCCTTTCGCTGGTTTAAAGTGGTGATGAGCCGAGAGTGATAAATGATCTCTCGGACTAGTGCGTGTGAAAGCAAAAGAGAAAGAAAGTTAATAAGAGAACTATTTGCCTAACTCTGATGTTGTATCACTTCCCTAGATTACTTGTGGACACTTAAGTACCCTTAGACTAAAAATTTTCTAATCCAAATGGACTATTCATTTTCAAGAACAATACATAAAGACCAAGTTTTAAATGTGCCCTCGCTAGATCACTTGGGAACAATAAAGTGACGACTGTATTCGTTCTTAATTACCTAAAGATACAATAGTGGCGACTGCTCTTCCTCTGCGTTATAAAGTTTAACCAGATAGACATTAGTTAAAATTATTGTATTTTAAATCAACGAAACGCAGTGAGCTCTCAAATGAGCTCTCTTGTATTCATTATTTCATGCGTACGTATGCTCAGACATGTATAAAGAACAAACAAAACCAATCAGAGAACTATTTTTTTTGCTCTCTGCCTTTCGCTGTTTTAAATCAATCGCGGTCAAAGAGAGCACATTTTAAGTGAGAGTAAAACTAGTAAATATAAGTTATTGTTTATTTTTGACAGTTCGTATAATGTCTGTGTGAAAATACGATTTATTTTCCTGGCTCGGGACACTGTTTGGTACTAATTGTTTAAAGCAGGGAAAGACAATAAGCTCTCTTGTACTCTTTCGTGCACACGTACGTATGAACGATCAGTCAGAGATCTAATTTTTACTCTCTGTCTTTCGCTGGTTTAAAGACACGTATCGAAGGAGAGGGAACTCTTTGAATGGTGTTTTCATACATACATATGTGGAAGAGAATGCCAAAGAGCTTTTTGTCGATACTCACTATTTACACCCTTCATCTTCGTAAGGGGAGTGAAAATTGTGTCTTTCCATTTGTAAGACCTATAATCGAAGATCTTGTGACGTTATAAACCTTATTGTATTGATTTGTTTAAGTATATGATCCCACCCAAATGGCAACCTAACCTAACGCAGAGTATTGGCGGTTTAACCTAAATACATAATTTCTGCAGTTTAAATTGGTGACTGCGACTTTGCTCTGCGTTACAAAAAGAACACTCATGATGAATGAAATATTTGAATCAATCAGATGTCTTTTACGGAAAAATGTACTCCTTTTAGAACTGCTGTGTTATATTTAAAACAAACTTGAAAAAAGAGATAACGCTTTAAATGAGAGTAAAACTAATCGTCAATGTAAATCAACCGTGGCAAAAAAGAGAACGCTTTAAATTAGAGCAAAACTAATCGTCAATGTATTAGTTATTGATTATTATTAAAACTTTGCATCGCTTTAAGGTGAAAAGCCGATTGATATTACTTTCTCCGCTTTTGTAAGTGTAAACGAAAGCTAAAGAACTCTTTGCCGATACCAATTTTTATACACTTCACTTTGGTAAAAAGGATAAAGTTTGACTTTCCCTTTGTAATTTCTATAATTTTAATCTAACGTTATAGACCCTATTGTTTAGATGTAGGAGTAGTGATATGGGAGACTCAACTTGGAGCTACCTGTATCGCTTATAAGCCCCTGTCTATAGAGAATTAGCGATATAACTTAAATAACTGTACAGATTAAATTCCTCTTGGTATATGTCTGCTTAGAGGCTATAATCGTCTTTCCCGAAAGTAGAATCGTAAGCGACAGCCCAATCAGCTACCAGCCTAAACAATTTCCGAACCCATATGACTCCACGTTCCACGCTAGACTTAGTCGACTTATTCCCGTCGTTTTAACGTGGAACACGGGGCCATATTTTTTCGGTAATTGTTTATCTTTAAAGTTTGTAGTCGATTCGCCTGTCGCCTGCGATTCTACTTTCGAGAAATGTTGGTAGCTGATTGGGCTAGCTACCAACCTTAAAGGTAAATAATTACCGAAACCATATGGCCCTATGTTCTACACTGGAACGACGGGAATAAGTCGATTTAGGGAAGTCCGTCGGTATGTTTGTTAAAGTTAATTTTATGAAAGCCCTAGATATCTTGGTCGTCCAAATCTTAGATCATTCTATCAGATATGCTTTCTAGAACTATTTGAAATCTGCACATATTGGAAATATAATAAAAATTAAAAAAAAACCGATGATTTTTTCTCTACAATGTCTAAAAAGGATGTATGTTACATCATCCTTTCGAAAAAGGTATATATGCGCTTTTTTAATCAGTGTCTCTGGTGGGAATCGAACCCAAGATCTCAAAAAGGGTCAAAAATTGTGTTTTCCAAACTTCACAACACGATATATCAAATCCCAGCTGTAAGGAAAAAAAATCTGAGGACAGATTAAGTGCGGCTCAATCCTTTAGATAAGTATAACTTGGTCTCAGGGTATCGAATTTTTTCTAATTTGATCGGTCTTTATAATTTAACATTGACGAAGGAAAATTGTCTTCTAATCATGCTCGAATCATCAGAGAGATCCAATTTCTATCCTAACGAACCCACGACCTCCAGCTTAACAGACTAGAACACTAACTACGTACCTACTGGAGGCACACTGCGTACCTTCGTTTGCCTTACTGTATGTTAGCTTCGAAAACTACTTATCACACTTGCCCTTAATCAAACTTCCTAGAGTGTTAACGCTAACAAACCAATTGTGTCTGTATGTATGAATGAGTAACAGTTTAAAGCGGGCAGTTTTTTTTAAATGTAAAGCGATAATAAAAAATAAATAAAATTTTACAGATATAATGTTAGAGATAATAGTTAATACCACTAAACTACAACTACTACTACTTCAAAAGTCAACAACAATTTCTGCTAATACTACTTAAATACTACTATTAACTATTCTCCTTTCTAGTTAATAAAGATGATCTAAAACGTTTAATTTTCTTAGTTCAAAACAATTTAATTGTTTTGATGTGATGTCAGGTAGTCACAGGAAAAACGTCTTCATTCATGTTACATGTTATAAAATAAAAAAATAAAATTTAGGTTTTTTTTTAAGTTACAACGGAGTCATAAATTTTAAGTTAGAATTGTGGGCGTGAGGTATGCAGTATGCAAACCCTATTAAGTTAAGTTTGTTTTGAAAGTAAGATTTTTGAATTGAAATTATTATCAAGTACTTTACATAATCTTACTAAATCCTAATAAACGTTTTGAAAGGAATGGAAAGAAAGACGTTTTGAGAAAATTTTCAAAAAGGTCTGTCGTATAAGCAAACTAGACCTATGAACTCGAACCAAACTAAAGTCAGCACTTTGAATATCTTGTTAAAAAAGCACGACAAGTATTGAGGGGAAATATACAAGATAGTCGACGACCTATAGCTGGCGCTTACACCTGCAGGAGCACCATAGATATGAGCTGAGTTCTGCAAAACATACCTAGAATGACTTAGGTCGAGAAGTCAATAAAAGAGTTAGATACAAAAGAATGCTGGTCCATTGCTCTAGGGCAAGACATGCATGTAAAAATTGTGGTTGTGTCACTACTTTAGCAGAGGTCATTTGGTCATTCTACTACATCTCACGAGCGATTTGCTATCATGAATGAAACATCCAAGTTAAGAGATTACTCTAATATTTCTTAAACTTTGGAAAATTCGGGTTCTTTTGAGTTTGTAGGAAATCGAACAATTTGTATCTCCAAGTTTTTGTATCTCCGAGTTCTTCATGGTCCTTCTAAAAGATGGTTGTGGAGCTCTTTTGAGTTAGTTATTGAGGTACTGATGTTAGAGGTGGCCGCGTGGGTTAGATTAATCGGTATATACATATATATGTATTTATATATACAAAACATCTATTAGATCCTAATAATTCAATTTGAGCAAATTTAAAATGTTCGAAAACAAAAATTGGAAATGTTTAAAGTTTTGCAACGATGCAGCTCTTTTGAATTAGTTATTGAGTTACTGATGTTAGAAGTCCCTGCGTAGATTAGTTAGTAGTGTTCTAGTCTGCTGATATGGAGGTCGTAGGTTCGATTCTTACCAGAGACTCTGGGCACATCAGGCCCGATATAATGTAATATATAAACTTCTTTTAAACTAACCAACTATCAATCTGCTGATATTGGAAACGTGAAAATTAATGGCAACTGATTGATACAATCAGATTAATCGGTTAACAGAAAACTGCTTTTTCAATACAAATCATCTATTGGATCCTAATAGCAAGAGGTTTCATGACAGTTTTACATTTGCACAATTTGCGAATCCATTTTAAGCAAATTCGATAGTCCCTCTAAAAAAGGGTTGTGGAGCTCTTTTGAATTAGTTATTGAGTTACTGATGTTAGAAGTCCCCGCGTAGATTAGTTGGTAGTGTTTTAGTCTGTTAGTATGGAGGACATAGATTCGATTCCCACCAGAGACTTTGGGAACAACGATACCGATCTGATGTAACATATAAACTTCTTTCAAACTAACTAACTAACAACCTGCTGATATTGGAACCGTGAAAATTGAAGAGAACTCATTGATACAAACAGATTAATCGGTAAGTCAATAGAAAACTGCTTTCTCTACACAAAATATCAATTGGTTCCATAATAGCAAGAGGTTTGTTAACAGTTTTGCATTCATACAACTGGCGAATCCAATTAGAGCAATTTCAAAATATTTAAAAAACAAAAATCGGAAATATTTAAAGTTTCGCAACGATTTGAAACTGAAGAAGGGTGGTTACCACCAATTTAGGAAATTTATAATCTTATACACTTAGAATATAAGGAGATCTTAAGAGCCTTCAGTGACATAAAGGCCAACGTCACAGAGTTTTTGTTCGATTATCAAAAGCGACGGGTTAAGGCGCATGTTTGGAAAAGCATATTATGAAATGTTCAAGATTTAGACAGATCTATTGGATTCTAAAAGCAAAGGGTTTGATGAGAGCTGCATATTTACAGATATTGCCAATTCAGTGCAAATTCATAATAATTTGAAAGCTAATATCCGAAATGCGAAAAGTTTGACAACAATTTCTAAAAGATTTGAAAGAAAGGTGGTGGCGATCTAATGGGGAAATTTATGCTCAAATATTGTTGAAAAACTATTATCTCGAATTATCATCTAACCACCAAAGACCAAAGCTTCTAAAAGTTTCAAAAATGGCGTTTTCTCAAACTTCACTACATCTCAGAACACAGATGTAATGGAGAAAATCTGAGGTCAGATTCAGTGCGGCTTAATCCTTTAGAAAAGTTTAACTTGGTCTCAGGGTTTCGACTTTTTTCAAATATTCTCGACCTGTGTAATTTAACATTGACGTTAGAAGATTGCGCTCTAATCATGCTTAAATCATCAGAGAGATTCAATTTCTATCCTAAGACCCTTTAGTGTTATAATGCCTATATCTGAAAGTGTTTTGTTGGGGAAATCTGCACTATCAAAGGCAACGGCTTAATCAATATTCTTGAAATGTCAAGGGTTTAATAACATTTAAAGCTTAAAAATTGTGGAAAAAGAATGTCTATTTTGGACGTTCAATCTCTGTATATCCCAAGTTCCTTCAATACTATAACCGATTAAAAATAATGATTCAAAATCCGAATATCTAAAAGTTTTTGTTGGGTAAATTTGCGACGGGTTATAGTCATGTTTGGAAACCAATATTCTTGAAATGTCAAGAATATTGGGTTGTAAAGTAAATGAAAGAAAATGGAATTGGAATAGGAATTGGAATGAAATTGGATTTCAAATCATTCTATTATGAAAGTTCAGTCTCTATATATCCCAAGTCCTTTTTGAATTAGAAGAAAAACCTCCATATAACCTAAGTCTCAGCAATGAAGTTATCTATTTAAAATAGTGAATTGAGTGAATCAAGTCCATTAACTGACTAAATGCAGGGCGATCAAGATCTCTTTTTGAAATGGGGTTTTCGATAGATAACGATTGTCAAAATTTGCCTCTATTAACTAACAAAGACGGCGGTGCTGTGGATTAACTCATCTTGGCAAATAACTACTTTCTTCGTACTACTCGACATCACTGATAAGCCATGGTAAAGCAATATTATAGGTCTAGCGATTGTTTGAAATATGTATTTCCTTTTAAAAATCTTTTAAATAACCTAATAATTTTTCTATTGCGCTTAACACTTAGTTCTAATAGAAGCGTATATTTCACTGATAACCTCTTATCAAAAGGTCTATACTTTTCCAAAGTTAATTTAAATTCTATTGGACCTTGGTTTAAGGTTAATGTTGTTTTAAACAAATTGTACAAAAAAAAAGTTTACGGAATTGTTGTTGTTGTTTTTTTTAATTTTTAGAATTTATTTAATGGTCTCTAATGTTGGAATTGGTTTCTTTTAGCAGAAATGCTTTTTTACCTTTTAAGCAAAACTTTAAGGGGAAATTATTAATATCCGTATCCGTTTATTTTTAAGGCTTGGGTATTTGCCCTTTGTTTTGTTTAAGGTAATCCTGGGTTATGAAATTAATCCTGTGTTGTTGTTTTTATTATTTTTTTTTTTTAACTTAAACACTTTTTAGGTTTATTTTTTTAAGAGATTTTGTGGTTTTTTGTTTAAGGAAACACTTTGTTTAACACTTTTTTTGAATTTAACGGTTTAATAAACCGTTGTTTTTAATTTTTTGGGTTTTTTCTTTAAACTTTAAACATTTAACCGTTTTTTAAGATTTTTTTTTAGTTAGACATTTTTTTAAATTTTAAATATTTTTTTTGTAATTTAAAAACAATAAAATTGTTTTGCTATTAATTATAAAGACGTTAGAACGACAACGACGTGATGTTTTAAAGACGGGCGTAAACGTAGTGATTGGAGAAAAAAAACGACAACAATAAAACGTTGCCAAAGAACAGAGTCTGACAGACAAATAAACAACGTTTGATTGAATAGCGAGTAAGTGGTGACTCGGTGAGTAAACTGCCCGCGGTTAAGTCTGTGTGATATCTAATCCAATGTTCCGCTAAGCGATTTTAACACGTCTGACGCGTTACAGTAACGTACAATATGCAGACTACCAACCAACACGCTGTCGGTTGTCGGTCAATATACAATGCGTGTGATAAAGTTTTTTTCTTTTCAGACGATTTTTATTTCACTTTTTGTTTGATGATACTTTTTCTGTTGTTTGGAACACAACACCTCTTAAACGCGTTTACTGTGAGAGATGTTCATGATGATGATGACGGGCGAGAAACAAAAAAAAAAAAATTGTTTTAAATAACAACAATGTAACGTGACGACGACAACTACAACAACAGCAACTAACACGACATTAATAACGAAATATCGAATTGGCAGAGAATTCAAAAAGAAAAACAAATTTTTTTTCTGACGTATCGAACGTAAAACAAACAAAAATTGTTTGTTGTTGAGACATGCGCGCGCTAAAGAAAACTAATGAAAACAACAATAAACCGACTCGACTCACCTTTAGGCAAGTTTGATGGTGAATGAAATTGCTTGACAGTTAAGTTGCTGCGCTCATGTTGCAAGTGTTGAGAGCTAATGGTTGTTTTCATTTAACATTTCTCTTTCTCTCCAACTTAGAGCACACAAACTCTAGACATCTCTTTCGTTCTTATGCGGTTTTCTAGCTACTTATCAATAATTACTCTCTGTGTTTTAATACAAGAGTGCAATAGAGTTATTGTTTGCTTTTCTAATACTCTTGTTGTTTCTTTTTCTCTTTGGCAAAATAACGGTTTAATATTTTGTTTATTTTTCTTTCTTTGAAAACAAAAACAACCACAATGTTAAATAGCTGGGCGTGGTTTTAGCTACCATTTAATTTATGGCTTTTTTTCACCGAGATTGTAACTTAGCAGAGTGTTTGTGAGTGTGTGTGTGTATAGTGTTCTATTGTTAGCCATGGCTGTAATGTTTTGTGTACTTGGCTTAAAGCACTTTAGCGTTAGCGTTGCGTTGACGTTTGGTTAAGCTTAAAAACAGGTTTTTTACACTTGTTTTTTTCCTACATTTTCATTCAGTTTTCTTCTAGCTTTGTAGCAAAAAATCCAAAGCAAAGATCTTTTACAAAGTCATCTCTGAAGTTGCTGGCCTTTATCCTGAATGTTTTCTACCAATTGACTCCTCTTCGTTCTTAAGCTACTGGTTTTTCCTTTAAATTTAAACAAAATGGCAATTTCTTAAATAAAAAAAACTATTATGAGTGAAACATTTGTATTCCCCCCCCCCAAAAGCTGCGTTATTTCACTGCTGCAACGCATTTGTGCTCGTGCCCTTTTAACGCAACAGCAGTAGCTGTAGCAGTCAGCAGTTACTGCCACTGTTTGTTTCAGCTTAAAGCTTCCTGACATTACTTTACGATAGTAAAAGTGCTTGCATAGTTTTTTGTTGCTGTTGTTGTTGCCGTTTTTTGCCTTTGTGGTAGCATCTTTGACTAAATAAATGCTCCCAAAATACTATGAGTGTATGTAGTATCAGTGTGTTTCATAAAATCCATTTGAAACGTAAGATGACGGCAAATGTTGTTGATATCAAAAGGAATGCCGTACGTTCTTGTTGGTTGTGCATTGTGCGAATTTTTGTAGAGAAACAAACAACAACTACAAAAAAAAATTAAATAATAATAAAAGGAAAAAGAGAAAAACTAGAAGCTTTAGCAAAATTGTATACAAACGTTGAGAAGCTGCTTAAACATGCAAAATAAATAAATAAAACATCAACAAAAATAGTATATTAAAGATTTATAAATTTATTTATGTATCCCTCCCGTAACAGTTGCAACGACTTAAAAAGCTGCTAAAATTTATTAAAAAGTTTATTTGTTTTTAAACAGTTTAGAAAAGCTTTTTTTCTTAGAAAAATTTCAAAAAATCATTTTTATTACAAAAAAAGTTTAAAATAGCTATTTTCTTAAACAAAACAAAAAAAGCTCTTTTTAGAAAAAAATTGTAAAAAGCTATTTTCTTAGAAAAAAGTTTTATTCTTATAAAAACTTTCAAAAAGGATTATTTCTTGGGAAAAATTTCTGAAAAGATAATTCTTAAGAAAAATAAAAACAATAAAAGTTGAGGAAGCTTTTTTCTTATGAAAAGTTCAGAAAAGATTTTTTCTTAGTAAAAGTTCAAAAAAAGCTTTCTTATTACAGAAAGTTCAGAAAAGCTTTTTCTTAAGAAAAGTTTAAAAAGCTTTTTTCTAACAAAAAAGTGAAGAAAAGCTTATTTTTTAAAAAGAGTTCTAAAAGCTTTTTTCAAGAAAGTCCTAACAGCTTCAAAAAAATCTTTTTATATTGCAAACAAGTTTAAATTATTTTTTTTAGATGAAACTCCTAAAAAACCGTTTTTTTAGAAAAAACTCCAAAAACTTGTTATCTTACTGAAAAGTTCAAAAAGGTTTTTTTAGTAAAAAAGTTTAGAGAAGCTTTTATCTTAGAAACATTTTCAAAAAAACTTTTTTTTAGAAAACAGTTTAGAAGAGTTTTTTTTAGAAAAAAGTTCAGAAAAGCTTTTTTTTTAGAAAATAGTTCAGAGAAGCAAGAAACGGTGTTCATAGAAAAAAGCTTTATTCTTCGAAACATGTTTAGAAAATCTTCTTTTATAGAAAACATTTCAGAAAAGCTTTTTTTCATACAAGCTGCTTTCTTAGACACAAGTTCAAAGAGCTTATTTTGAAAAAACATTTTTGGTAAAAAATTAAAAAAGCTCCTTACTTAAAAAAAAAATTTTCATAAAGATTTTTAAGATATGATAGAAATTTAAAGAGCTTTTTTAGAAAAGAAAAATCTCAAAATTTAGTTTTAATACAAAAAAAGCCTTTCTATGAGAAACAACTTTCTTATCTCTTTTTCTTCGAATGTAACTTTTTAACGAAAAAGTTAACCACAACCTTTTTTATAAAAAAGTTTACTAAATATTTTTTCATAAAACGTAATTTCGTAGGAAATAGCTTTTTTAAGAAAAACCGGTAAAGAAAACTTTTGTAAAATCGAGAAAAAGTGCATTAACGCTTTTCTAATAAGAAACGTTTACTAAAGAAATTCGTAAAATAAAGCTTTTTTAAAGCAAAAGTTTGGGAAACTTTTTTTAAGCTTATTGTCATAAAAAAATTACAAATTAAAATTTCTACTGTAGCGAATCTTCTTATTTCCTATTCGATTGATGTTAGAATGTAAAGCTTGAATTTGTGTTGCAAGCAGCAAAGAACGCATAGAATAAAAAGTAAAGCCCAGCAAAAAACAACAACAACAACCTTAAAAGCAGCAATAACAACAAAAATACTTTAAAAACTCTACAACCAAAGACTCCAACAACTAAACGACAGACAGAAGGACATACCGAGCGACAGACAGATGGACATACACACTAAAACAGCAGCAAAAACATTTGATGATAATAGTTTTTATTTTCTACTTTTTCGATTTTTTTTTAACAAATCGGTAGAAAAAGTATCGAATTCGCATTGTCAGCATTAGGAATGAGAAATGTATACAAACAGCAACGTTGACGGCGACAACGACAACAAGAAGAACGTGCAACAGCGTTTTGTATTGAAATAAATTGAAATACGTTTTTCAATACGTATTGACGACTGACGGCTGCAATAATATATAAACGCCGCCGTATACCATACTTACTCACATTTTCATTTGACATACCGACAGACAGTCATACATATCAAATCTTTTTTTTACTCAATTTTTTTCCACAAAACATCCACTTTAAAAAAAGTGGAAAAAAATATAAAAAAGAAAAAAAAACTTTATGAAAACATCAGCACAGAAAGAAAAATTGTGTATCGAAGTCAAAAGCCTTGATAGTTACAGACGTAGATTTGTTATGTAAAAAAATAAAAAAAAACTCAATTGAAAAAATGGAAATGAAAAATAACTAAATAAAAAAAATTCACGTATAAAATTGCATAAATTTTTTGTTATTCAATAATCCAAACATACATACATACATACAGATATCAGGGATACATTTGTTAAGGGGAGAAAAAGAAAGGTCACTGGTAAATTGTTAGGAAAATATTAAAGTACTTTTTTGCAATTGAAAATTTGAGGACTTACGAAATAAATAGTACCAAATAATGTTTTTATTTTAATTTCTTAAAATTGTTTTAAAATTTTTTAAAGCTTATTTAAGATCAAACCTTCTTTCTTGCACTATTTCTAAAATAAAAGCTTTTTGGAAGTTTTTTTTAGTAAATAACTTTTTTAAATTTTTTTAAAGAAAAAAGCTTTTTAAAAAATTTTCTAAAAAAAGCTTTTGTGAACATTTTTTAAGAAAAAGCTTTTGTGAACATTTTTTTAAGAAAAACTTTTATAAAGTTTTTTCTAAATTAAAAACATTTATAAACTTTTTTCTAAGAGAAACGTTTTTTCCAACTTTCTTCTAATAATAAGCTTATGAAAACTTTTTTCTATTAAAAAAGCTTTTGTGAACTCTTTTCTACGAAAGTTGTGAAGTTTTTTTTTTCACGGAAAAAGCTTTTGCGAACTTTTTTCTATGAAAAAAGCTTTTGTAAAACTTGTTCTATAAAAAGAGCTTTTGTGAACTTTTTCTATTAAAAAAGCTTTTGTGAACTTTTTCTAAAACTTTTTTTTAAAAAACCTTCTAAGAAAAAGTGGATTTTTGGATTTTTTTCTAAATGAAAAAGCTTTTATGAAGTTTTCTGTACGAAAAAGAACTTTTACAAACTTTTCAAATAGAAAGAAACTGTTATGAACTTTTCTCCAAGTTTAAAACTTTTATGAACTTTTTTCTGTAAAAAAGCTTTTATGAACTTCTCCCTAAGATAGAAATTTTCCCGAACAATTTTCTAAAAGAAAAACTTTTGTCAACTTTCTTCAAAGAAAAAAGCTTTTAAGAATCCTTTTCTTTAAAAAAACTTTTGAGAACTTTTTTCTATGGAGAAAGCTTTTGAGATTTTTTTTTAATTTTTTCTAAGTTAAAAACACTTATAAACTTGTATGTAAGAGAGAAGCTTTTGTCAACTTTCTTCTAATAATAAGCTTATGAGAACTACTTTCTTTGAAAAAAGCTTTCGTGAACTTTTAAGAAAAGATGCTTTAATGGAAAAGAACTTTCCCAAAAGAAATAAACTTTTATGAACTTTTCTCAAACCTTTTATGAACTTTTTTCTATAAAAAGCTTCTAAGCTTCTTCTAAGAAAAAAGCTTTTAAGAACTTTTTTCTATGGACAAAACTTTTGAGTACTCTTTTCTATGAAAAAAGCTTTAAAGAACTCGTTTTTATGAAAAAAGTTTTAGTGAATTTTTTCCATGAAAAAAGCTTTGTAATTTTTTTATGTATATCAAAAACGCTTTAAGCTTTTATGAACATTTTTCTATAAGAAAGCTTTTATAAACTTCTCCTTAAGAAAGAAAGCTTTCCGAAAAATGTTGAAAAAAATACTTTTTTCAAGTTTCTTCTAGGAAAAAAGCTTTTAAGAACTCTTTTCTATGAAAA